GTTTTTTTCCCCTCCGGCTAAATGTAGCATTGTTTGTGTTTGTTTTTTGATGCATTTGAGCTGTGGTGAGTTGTCGTTTGTTTATATTTCTTCTGTTTGTAAAAAAAAAAAAGCTGAATTCCATATGTTTAGGCGATTCTATAGCACAGTGATGCAGAATCTTACGGGTTTCTTGTCGCTTGTTCGTTCCAGTGGACGTGAAACATCTGCTTCCAAAGAAGCCAAAAAGAAAACGTAAGCAGAGAATATGATTTTATGCATTTTGAGTGGCTACTTTTTCTCATTGGGATCTTCCACGTAATCACTTCAATCATCTTTCTGTTTGGCTCTGACCTCGCAATAAGCCTTAAATGAACTTCCTCTATTTCCGCGTATGTCTGAGATTGCCTCTCCTTACCCGTTGAAGTGCAGAGCTGCTGTTGACAAGCAGCTGTTTTTTTTTTTTGCGATCTTGATAAACTTTCTACATTGCATTAATGTCAAGTTTCAGATTGACAAATTTTGTTCTGAAATGCCGCCGAATATATCAAACGTTGGTGAATTACTCGATTAACGAGCTGTGCAATATGGCTGATGCGTTAATTGCGCCAGTAAGATTGGGTATTATCAAACCCACATCTATTATGGCGCAGAACTCCACCAACGATCCGTTAGATGTTAGTCTTTTTTTAAATTTTTTTTGCATAAGTTGTTTGAAGAGTAACTGAAACCCTATTTTTCCTGGAAGAAAAAAAAAGAGAGGGGGTGGGGGGTCATGGTTTAATAAATGAAAGAGTAAATTAAGTACCAAGACCACCCGGATTATTGTTGTGGTTATCCTATTGTGGAAAACCCGCGGAAAGCCGGCAAAAAAGCCGCCAAGAAATGTATACTGCCCGTGGAAGACAATCGGGGAGGCTTGTTGTGTCTTGAAAGGCAGATACACAGTAGATGTACTGTTAGGCTGATGTTGGAGTGTAAGGGCCGGTGGTGTAGTGGGTAACACGTCTTGTCTACCCACTGCACCATCAGCCTTATGCTCTGGCAATGGTTCGATTCCGTCCTGGTGCACAGCCTCTTTTGCAATTGGACTCGATCCAAAATGGGTTGACCACTGCCCCACCGGCCTCGTCCGGTGATATGTAACAGCTCTTCGATTGTCAGCAAAACGCTGAGCGTTTTGCTTTTTTGTCTGCATGCCGATATTTAGCGTGCAGCGACATGCCAGAGCTGGACCGGCTTTCCTATCCCCACAAAAATAGACACATTCCACTGGGCGCTGTGTTAAAGTTTGTGTAGATTTGTTAGTTCCTTTGGCAAAGGGGCTAGTTTGTTGCAGGCAGTGGAGAAGTATTTGAATACGGAAGTGGATTTATCAACAATCAATGCAGCGGGCGACGAGATTGCTTTGCTAAAATATTCTCGCAGGCAGAAGGTAGACTTTTTTTTTATTTTTACATAGAAAGTAACACACGGGGACTTCCATGCTCGCGAGCTAACTCTTATCTGAAAAGTTCTGTAATAAGTGAAATAAAAAATGAAATAGAAAAATAAAGTAAAAAATGAAGTAAGAATAAGTGAAAAAAAAATAAGTGAAAAAGTTTTGTAACAGGTAAAGAAAAATAAAAAGTTAAAAAAAAGTAGAATAAAGCAAAAACAAAAAAAAAAAATAAAAAAGTAAGTAAAAAATAAAAAGTAAGACTTGTAATAGAATAAAATAAAAAAGTAAAATAAGATAAAATGTTGAAAAAAAATTTTTTTAATGGTAAGAAAGTGTTTCGGTCCATTAAGTCGTATACATTTCTTAACATTACCACAATTGGACTTCGTCAGTGTACGACGATTGTGGTAATTAGCATGAATTTGATTAATATTTAAATATGGCATAATGGCAGCTCGTTATTTTACTCTTACGACCGCTTTCGCCTGTCGATGTATCTGACAACTGTGCAAAGTTTAAAATGAGTTGAGCGGCCGACGCTTCGATTTTCCGTCATTACGATGTTTCTTTTTTTTTTTTCACTGAACATATTGCTTGTATTTTAGCGCGGTACCCGAAGAGATGGCGATCATGTTGTAGATGAGGAAATGCGTGAAAGTGCAGCCGTCCAGTCGAATAGCAGTCCAGAAAGTGACAATTCAAGCGATTCGGATAGCGATGGTTGGTTTTAAATTAGCCGTTTTTCTAGATTTTTACAATTTTAGTTTAGATCGGTAAGGTAGGAGTAACGCCACCCTCATTAGTTTTACGAATTTTAGTGGCACAGGTGTTTTCGTGAACGGGAAGGGCAAAAATTCATAGATACGAAAGAGTTAAAATATTAAGAAGAATAGATACGAAAGGGTTAAAAAAAGAGGGTTAAAAAAACAAGAAAAAGAATTAAAAATTTTTTAAATTTTTAAGTTTTTCCGAATTAAATTTTTTTAAATTTTAATTTTTTAAATTTTGCCGGTTAAAAAATTAAAAAAAATGTTTGCCGAGTTCTAGGCCGTTAAGAGTAGTCGTAGAGAAGACATATGTGTTTTTTGAAGTTATTATTTTGTTCTGACACTGCAGTTAAATGTCCGTCGTTTTCAGAATCACCTCCAGTTCGCAGTGAAAGTTATATTGGTGAAGTGTTCAATGCATTACGAAGCGGTGAATTTTTTTTTTTTTTTATTATCTTAGCTGTACATTAACAGTGTTTCGGTTTTGATGTTCCTCTCTCTCTCTCGCTCATATTCGATTCTCACTGACACATACATTTTAGCAGAACCGCCCAGAATTAGTCGTGATGAAGAAATGGTTATGCTGTCGGATGATGAGGATGATGGCGATGAGGACTCGGTCGAGACGGCAAGCTCACTGGGTGATCAGGACGAGGAGCCGACCAGCCAAGAAAATGACCCAAATGCTGAAGATGATGATGAAAATGATGGTGAGGATGGCGACGGTAACGGTGGTGACGATACTGAAGGTAAGCTGTTCTAGCTTGCATAATTTTCATAGAAAAAACCTTAATTTTGGTGATGAATTCTGAACTCTGTTCTTTTTCTGTTTTTTTTTTTTTTTTGAATTCTAAATTATTCTTTTTTTCGAGCTCTTTCTTTTGGAATTTCCTTTGAATTTTTCTGAATTTCTGAATTTTCTCTTGAGTTCTTTTGAAAATTTGAATTTTTCTGAATTTTTGTGAATTCTGAAAGCAATTCTGAATTCGGAAACAAAGTAAAGCAATTCTGAAACAATTTTGAACTTTGAAATTCTGAACAATTCTGAATTCTGAAAAATAAGACAGTTCGGAAACGAAATAAAAAAAAAAAGTAAATTTCAATCGTGTAAAGTTTGATTTTTGTAATATTACATCACATGGTCTTCC